GGTAATATTACATTGTTCGCTTAAAATGATAAAAATAATATGACATTTATATCGCGCAAATCCGTAAAACAATCATTGCTCTATGCGCATTGCATATGTTCATGGAAAACATGCATACACACATATACATGCACATAATAATATATGCACTAAAAAATAGTAGGTGTCACTACTTGATGGGATCAAGCGCTCGTCAGTTTTGATTTTGAGGCATATAGAGTTATTGATATCATCTTAAAGCCTGTCCATTTGCCTTCCTTTTGATGAAAAGAATATTCATCTATGCTGAATAGAAGTCGAAATATTTGTGATTGAAGGAGGTGGGGTCACCTGATTTCAGAGGTAAATTTCATGAGAAAACGGTCGCCAAAGTTTGATAACTTCAATAGCTTGAGAGCCTTTAAAAATGAAAAATCACAAATTTTGTGCATGTAATTAACGTTTTTCAGTATGGACGTAAAAGGTGTTTAGCGCGGGGAAAAAATTCATTAAAAGTTCCCAAACCTGCGTAAAAATGCCAGTTTTTTTCACTTTCATTATTTTCACGAGCGCCTGATTTCACCACGCTGTCTCACAATTAGAGTAAATCATTTAAGGAAAATATTGCATACACACTCTTTCTTACTAATAAAAAGGAAAAAATTGAGACTCATGTCTATGACAAAAGCGCTTTAATTAAAAAACAAAAACAAATTACAGTGGAATTCTGATAAAGTCAACACCCTGGACAGAAAAAAAAGTGTTGACTTTGAGCAAGATTGACTTTATCCATTGTAATAATAATAATGATAATGAAGATCATTTCTATAGCGCCCACTCCCGTGTAAACACAGCTCTAGGCGCTTTACATAAATGCATGTAAGAAAAATATTCATGCACGCGACACACACACACACTCACACACACACACACTCATATACACACAAACACACACACACACACATATACATATACACACACACAAACACACGCATACACACTCACGAATACATAACACGCACACATGTATGCCAAACACACACAAACACACACACACACACACACACACACACACACACACACACACACACACACACGCACACACACACACACACACGCACACACACACACACACACACACACATCTACTTGCTTATCACACGCACACGATTACACATCGTCACGAAATGAGAATAAAATAATATATACACTGCAATTCACAAAATACATAAATGGATACATAGACATTTACATAACATTGTACTGAACATGAATCTACTGACTTAAAAAGGATGTCATTAAATGTGTCTTTAAAGATGTTTTAAATTTAGACTCAGATGTTGTATGTCTCAAGGGTTGGGGAAGAGAGTTCCAAACTGACGGAGCAAGGTGGGCGAACGATCTTTCGGCTAATTTTTTACCGCCTTTTCTAGGAACTCGTAAAAGATACTGGTCGCCTGATCTTAGTGATCTAGATGGAGCATAAATCTGGATGAGATCACTAAGATATGAGGGAGCTTTGTTATTGACACATTTATGACATAATATTGCAATTTTATATGACATTCTAGCTGACACGGGAAGCCAATGCAACGTTCTTAACATTGGAGTAATGTGGTCCCTCTTCTTTTTCTTTAGTACAAGCCTAGCAGCATGATTTTGAAAACGTAACTTGTGAAGAGAGGTATTTGGTAAGTTAGCTAGTAAAGCATTGCAATAATCGATGCGTGAAAACAAGAAAGATGACACGAGCGTTTTCAACGAGTGTTCGTTCAAAAACATAGACATATGACCAATTCTACGCAATTCACAAAATAAAATGGTACATAAATAATTGATATGATGTTCCATTGACAATTTTGAATCAAAATACACTCCCAGATTTTTTGCTTTGTTAGTAAAATACAGTGTTTCATTTTCAGTACAAACATGATCAATGTCTACGGGGATGTGGCTTTTCTTTGGGTTACATAACAGAATTTCAGTTTTATTTTCATTAAGCTGGAGCTTATTATCAACCATCCACTTTTTGATGTCATCAATACACAGACCCATCGTAGTAAGCAAGGTTTCAACATCTGATGGTGGAACAGATTTATATAACTGTGTATCGTCAGCGTACATGTGATAATACTGTACTACTGGCCATTGAAAATTGAAGATGACTGCTACTGCTACAAAATTACAAAGTACCTGGTAATAAACAAGATGTAATCTCAATTCCAGGGAGTATAATTGTGAAGTTGTCACCAAAACAAGAGATAATTAATAATGAAAGAACAAAGTACATATGTAATTGGATGTGTGTACACCACTTGCTCAGGCAAAATATCTCTTCTTGGGTGAATTCATCTTAGGATTTAGCCCCAAATTGTTGACTTTACAAAAGGTTAACACTCAAGCGGTTGACTGTATCAGAAACACAATTACTTAAACTTAAACAAAGAAGGTAAGAAACGGGACTACAGTGAAGTGTTGACTGTAAGCAAGTTGACTTTATCAGGATTCCACTGTATCTCTGTTATTACTGATGATTTATGCTGAAAAAAAAGTAAAATTAGTTATCATCAACAAATGCAGATGTTCGATCATTATGTCGAATATATTTTTTCACCTCACAAAAGTGTAATATTACATTAGTTCAAGACCCCCCCCCAGGCGTAAGATTATATTTGAACAGCCCCTTATAGGAACGTAGAACTCATACGATGAAAAGTTTAACATTACACTCTAACAACCCGGCACTTATATGACCTTATTGTGTTGCAAGTGCCGTAAAACACTTACTAAAACAAACAAACACTCTAATAAGATTTCCTGCCTTTTTTCCTCCCCCAGACGGCGGTGTCTCTCCAAAGCCTACATAAGAAGAGGATTTATCATCAGGCCATGATGCCAGAGAACATCCTCCTCACTCGCTCGAACAATCCCTACATCTCCGACTTTGGCGCAGCGCGGAAACTCTCTGAGGGATGTGACAAGGTGGACACGTGGACAGCTCCGTCTGGTTTCCGGGGACCCGAGGCGGACCGGGAGGAGGGTGGCGAGTTCTGTCCATTCCAAATGGACACCTACAGCCTGGCTGTCAGCATGTGGCAGGCACTGTCCGGTCTGTGTCCAGCTATATACCACCCGTTGGATCACCTAGAATATATCCCTCCGCAGTATGCTCACTTCTTGATGTACCTTCTTCTTCCTGACCCTGACAAGAGATGGACCCTGGCCAAGTTCCTCAATGAGGTCTTGGTTCTTCACCCAGAACTATTCTAGGATGTTTGGATTCCGGCTAACGATAGTTGAAAGACAGCGGTGTTTTAGGGATAGTTGAAAGACATTGGTGTTCTAAGGATAGTTGAAAGACAGTGGTGTTCAAAGGATAGTTGAAAGACTCCTGGATATTTCCTGGACAAAAGTCCAGAAACGTATGTAAGACGTTCTATAACCTAAAGTGGTGTTTGAAGGGATTTTAGAGCAGAGGGTAGAGAATTTTAAAAAGAAAATAATTGCCACTTTTTTCTCAAAAGGCATGTTTTACACAGCTTATATGTTTCAGTTTTAGTAGAAAACGTCCATTCTATTTCTATTGCGTTAATATTATCAAGAAGTTGCCATGTTCGTGTTTAAAATATGTTTTTACGGTTTCTAATTGGAAAGAGAACTATTTTAGCATTTTCTGACCTTTATCGGCCGTTGTCTTAAAATACTATTTTCACACATTTTATCTTATCCCATTTTCTTGCTGTATCTTATTAGATTTTAATGTAACTTCAACAAAATGTTAACGACTCCTATTTCTAGAAACAGTCTTGAGGAATTTTTGATTGCACATGTAGCTTTTGATAAATGGCGTCAGAAAGTGATTTTTTCCCTTTTTCAGTTATGCAATAAGCCGATTTTTTAAGTCCCGTAGAATGAAAACTAAAGCACATACCACTAATTCCCAAGACTATTTTTAGATATGTACTTTTCCTACGTACATGCCAAATAAAAAGTGTTTGAAACAAAATAAGTCAAACCAAGTGAAATATTGTCTCTTATATACAATGCTATTGTATTGCTTTTTAGTTTGAATAATTTTTTCAGGATCAAGAAGTATCCAAGTGGGTGGTTGGCGGGTGCTCTGGTGTGTTTTGCTCCTTCTTTATTTTCTATCAAACATCTATCGTCCTTATCTCCCGCCTCCTTCTTTTTTGTGTGTTTGTTGCTCTCTTGTAACACCTCTAATCTTCGGCACTTGTTTGACCTTATCGTGTTGCAAGTGCAGTAGAACACTTACTAAAACAAAAGAAGAATCCAAAAACGATAATATTGTATTACAGTTCAATATTTTTTCCACAGAGCGATAGATAGCATAGCAAAATAACATCATATCATAGAAATTTTGAGGTTTCGGGAGGTTTCGGTTGTTTTCGAGAGGTTCCGGTATAAACAAGTACCCCATATGATGAGCTCATTGAAAGAGCTTGCTGAGAGCTACTTTTACTTTGAGTTCAAACAGGATGTTCGTCACGGGAAACTGGGCAAAACTGCTAAGTTTTGGATGGTCTTACAGCAACAAAGAGGAACGACTTTGACTTGCACATAACTTGTCTTGAGCAGATTTGTCTCCCTTTTCTTTAGCATGGACCACCCCAACTATGCTAGATACCTCTAGTCTCTGCATACATCTACTGAACATGAAAGATTCCCATCCTGGAGCCGATGAGCTTTTGCGATGCAAAGCATGCTGTAGGGTGTGGATATATGCGCTATATATAAATTAATAAATACAGTAGTAGTAGTAGTAGTAGTAGTAGTAGTAGTAGTAGTAGTAGTAGTAGTAGTAGTAGTAGTAGTAGTAGTAGTAGTAGTAGTAGTAGTAGTAGTAGTAGTAGTAGTAGTAGTAGTAGTAGTAGTAGTAGTAGTAGTAGTAGCAGCAGCAGCAGCAGCAGCAGTAGCAGTAGTAGTAGTTGTAGTCGTAGTCGTAGTCGTAGTCGTAGTAGTCGTAATAGTAGTAGTAGCAGCAGCAGCAGCAGCAGCAGCAGCAGCAGCAGCAGCAGCAGCAGCAGCAGCAGCAGCAGTAGTAGGAGCAGCAGCAGCAGTAGTAGTAGGAGCAGCAGCAGCGGCAGCAGTTGTAGTTGTAGGTGTAGTACTATTATTGTTATTAGTATTGAGCAATTGTAGTAGTAGCAGTAGTCGTATTACTATTATTGTTATTTTATTTTTTTTAAATTATTATTACTACTGCTATTATTATTAACACTGATGTAACATCCAGCGGCGACAAGGTCGCATTTACATCGGCTGTGCTGGTTTTGTCTCTTACTTTTATTGTTTCTGTTTGGACTGTGTCTGAAACTTTCCTCATTCCATCATGGAGGTGCAGTGCAGTGTTCGGACTGTTACGTGCATTTTTGTGTAGGAAAATGAATAATTTTTTGGCGTTTGTCGGTGAAATTAAAAAACAGACCCTTACCAAACCACTCGACATTTTCCACTATTACATAATAGCCCAGCCATGCATGTTGTTAAACCTCGACCCCAGTGTCTGAGTTCTTGTAACCATGCTCAGTACGGTTTCCACCAACAATAAAAACGGAAGAGGGGAGCAAAGGACGGATCAGGGAAAGCCAGGCCCTTTCTACTTCATTTACAATTGTGTGTTTATGATTATTATTTTATTATAATAGTAATAGAGGGTTTTGCGGCACTCGCAACTGCAAAAGGTCATATGAGCGCCAAGGGGTGGGTGTCAACAGAGAAGTCTTTACAGGGAATCAGACTTACTCTGCTCACCTCTCTAGCTACAAGGTCTGCTTCAACTATCAAAGCGCCCTGGAAATAGCAGGTCACAAAGCCACAAGAGAGTAACAAGTAACAAACATACAAAAGAAGTAGAGGAAAATGACAATAGTAAGGAGTTACGAAAGAAAAAGCAGCCGTTCCCTGTTGTAGATCAGGCACAGTTATGAGCGTGACATTGAAGAATCAGCCCATTTACAATTCTACTGCGCTTGAACGAGAAATGCCCCCCCCCCCCCCCCTTGGGAATGGCCTAGACACTACAGTCTGTGGCACTGCCCCGGGGGGTTGCAATTGTGTTTGACAACACACGACCTTTAAAAATAGCAAATACATGTAAGAAGAACCGTCAACAAGCTGTCGGCATTTTAACGAATACCGTGACGCTTCGTTTCTTGCGTTCACCGAGACATGGTTCGAATCCACAATCTGTCCACGTGGTTTTATGCACCCCGCATAATTTAGCAAAATTTGATCAATTTTTGCATAATTTCTGATTATTTTCCTTTATCATTCTTTGATAAAAGTAGAAAAATCGCATAATTTCACATTTTTGGGCTCAGTTTGCATAATTTCAGAATTTTTCTTGCATAAAACGACGGGGACAGCACAATGGCCAATTCAACAGCACACATCGACGATTTTCAAATGTTTCGCTGCGACTCTATAGTGAAACACCTTGAATCTCCTAAAACGTATACGAGAGTACTTGAAAAAAATTCCCGTCGGCATTTATATATATACAATTCAACCGCATATTGCAATTAAAAACTTTTGAGTCTGAGAGATAGTCATTATATCGCAGCATGGGTTCTGGAATTTTTAACAGGCAGACCACAATATTTTAAGCTGAACAACACAAAATCTGACACAATCCCTTGTAACACCGGTGGTCCTGAGGGGTGTGTTTTGTCACCATTTTTTTCTTTTTTTGTGAGTGTTTTACGGCGCTCGCAACATAAGGTCATGAGCGCGCGGAGCACATTAAACTTTTTCATTTTCAGTCGGTAGGAAATTTTGAATGTTTCCCGAGTGGCGGCCGAAGCATACGCTTTAACGATTTTAAGATCTCCAAGGGATCTTTAACGTGCGCAACCTGCACACGGGCCCTTCCACTACTTTTCGCCCTTATCTGAGAAGGCTAGGTGTAGAGATCTTTCCATACAGAAGATCAGGGGTGTGGCTGAAAGAGAGCAGTACAGTAGTCTCCGCCTAAACGCACGGTACTCGGGAGGGCTCCTTGGCGTGTGTTTTTATACGGAGCGTGTGTTTACATGAACCTTTGCAAAGGGAGAAAGGGACGCAGTCATATCTCATTGCCTTGATATTCTAGTGACCTCCCTTTGGGGTGGGGGTCGCTTTGGGCCGATAATGTGACGACACGTGACTGTTTTGTAAAAGATTCCCCGACTGCGGTTATGACTGATAAGGCGTTGAATGGGTGTGTGTGT